TGCAGACAAGCTGGCGCTTGGTGCCTGTGCGGCTTTCTCGCTCTCCGCCTCCTCACAGTTTGACGTTAATCATTTTTAAAAGGTGAGAGAGCAGAAGGAGAAGTGGGAAGAGCCTTCGCTGCAGTCCAGGAAAATCATTTTAACAGGGTTAAGAAGGCAAATTGGCAAAAATCCACAAGCGTTCAACCTGCCTCGAAGACCTATAACAGTCAAAAAGCATCTTCAGAGAGCAGCAGTCAGTGCTCATTTTCCTCTGCCTCTGTTTCCCCCCGCTTGTTCTTCACCAGCTGAGCAGTGCAGCACTCCTTGCCTCCATCTCTTTCACTGCTTCCCACCTTCTTTTTGCACCCCAGCACCTTCCCTGACCTTGTTGCTCTTCTCACTTTTCTGTGCCCTTTCTTCCTTTTCATTCCCAGCTGGTCGATCCCTTGTTTGACTTTTCATCTCCATCCTTCAGGTTTTGGATGATGGCAGCATCAGTGACACGTTCACCCATAAGTCCCTGTTCCCTGAGGATATGGACCCCCTGTCAGTCAGTGGGACCCTTAACCCTGACGGTACCCTGGTGGTGAGTGTTCGCCGGAAATCAGCACTCACTGGGAACGAGCACCTGAGTATCCCAGTCTACAACAGTGGGACTGACCTCTGACCTGTGCGCACATAGTGTGTCTCGTGGTTTCTCCCATGGTTTTAAATGATCTTTTATAACATTATAGTGTTGTTTATAGCTTATGCAAATTGTGTGGCCATGTGCACTGAATATTTATATAAATGAGTAACTAATTAATCATTATTTATAGTATAAGCACAACTTGGCACCACCACTTCCTCTTTTAGCTTGTAATCACATCATTTGCTTCCAGTAAATCTCTCGCTGTCTCAACCCCTCTACCAGGATGATCAGGCTAAACACTCCACAATGCATTAACAATCCCACAACTGTATCAGGCAGATTATTAGGTTCATGTTAACATCATGTTTTCTTACATTACTTTCCAAACAAAAGTCTCCAAACCCTTCAGGAACGTTCAGGTGCTGCAGGAACTAAAAGCCCAGGGAAGCCCATTGTTATCAGGCGTGTGGTAACTAGTCAAATAAAGCAACTCTTGTTTTCCCAGTGTTGTTTTTAATCACAAAAAACAGAAAAAAAACCAAAGCAAGACTTGATGATATAAAATGCAAAGCTCATCTTTGTGTTGTTTTGCTGAAGTGCAGTGAATAGACACGCTGCTAATAGCAGCGGAGGCTGATGGGACAGTACTTTCAGACCTGCACCATCATCTGGCTCACATGTGTCTGACAGAACACTCAGCTCCTCTCTTTGATCAGTCCAGCTGTGCACCTTTTGTATTTTTACACTTCAACTCAGTTTCATAGGCATCACTGAGGCGTGTACTGATCTCATAATGCTTCCAAAACACATGTGACCTCCAGCTCAATGCTGAGGCCCTCTGTGTCCTGTCAAAACGAGGACTGTGCTGCTATTCTGCTAAACCTGCTGGTTTTACTCTGCAGATTTATTTCTCTGGAACAATTTTTTGCAGTAAAAGATGACAGATTTATTGAATTATTATTTGCCGATGTAAAGTTTCAAACTGGTTTGAAGGTGTTTGTTCTAAAAATGTTGTAAACTGTTCAAAACCTTCATGGTTGACTTCAGGAATCCTTGTTTTTAGACGATTCAACTAATCTGTGTTTCCATGTTAATTGAGTAAATTAAACGTATTCTGTTTAACTAAAGCAGATCTTTGTTGTCCAATTTGTATCAAAATCTGGTCTTTTCTTAGACGTGGAATAAATATGTGTTCGTACAAAAATGTCTAATGGTTGTTGGTTTGTCTGTCACTGATCAGAGAGCAAACAGATGGTGCAGAGTGGTGCTCACTGCGTCTCCCTTCTTCACTGTAAGCAGCGTCAGCTCTCAGAACAACCTCACAGTCTCGCTCAGATTCTCTACCTGCAATCTGCACACACACGTCTTAGAAAACTTTGAGGTTACATAGATCCCCGACCCACAAACCTAACCATCACCAGCAGGTCTACTTTAATAGTTGGTCTGTCGTAGAATCTGTTTTGAAGTCAAATAAAGGGCAGGAGAACAAAACACTTAATTTACATTGAATTTTAAAAAACAACATATCAACTTGTTCATGCTCATTTAAGCTCAGTTTTTACGCCTACCACTTACTGAGTGGAATATGTGGAACTGAGAGGAAGTAGAGGTAAAACATGATTGCCAACACTCGTTACATCCACTTTTAGTACAGCGGAAGCAGCAAATGCTTCCACTGTGCTTTGGATGATATTGATAGTGATGATCCACAAAAAACAGAGCATGGATGACTGCACGTCATACCATCAATGATATCAGTCAGTTTTAAAAAGTTTGGAAGTTCCCACACTGTAAAAACTTACAAGAAGACTTTTTTTTGAACATCTGCCTTGTCAGCATGAATGTATGGCACTTTGCCCAAGTGCTTTTTACCCCATTCACTGAGAGGAAACATCGGGTAGTTTACTTTATTCTTTCAACTCTGTCTCCCTGTTACAGCTGCAGTCAATGCTTTTCAGATTATTTGGGGTTAAAAAAAATGCATGAAATGATCCTCCATAAACATGCACACATGTAAACAAGCCCAAGTCTCCCTGGAGAAGTTCTGAGTGTCAGACTTTAAACTCAGTGAGGAACAGAGCTGCAGCCTACCTAACCGATGAACTCGTTTAGCTCATTAAGCTTTTAGCACAGAACTCCCCACCCATTACAGTCCAGATGCTCCCCTCTCTTTCACACCAAAACAACACAATGAAGAAACGATGTGTGCGTGTGTGTGTGTGTGTTTGCAAATTGTAAATGTGGAAGCAGCAGAAGGAGAGGGCAGGAAAGCACAAAAGTGTGTACTATCTGTTCATTATGGTGCCAACTGTTGCAACAAAGACTCCCGCTGGAAGAGCAGAGTCAGAAGGCTGTTAGTTCAGTTTAGAGCTGCGGTGCTGGAACAGACTCACTTGACCCACTTTAATGTCATTGGATATGTCGTGTTTACAGCTCTACAGCAGCGGTGTTGAGAAGGAAGACCAGATCGTTGACATTTCTTTTGAGGGAGCCTTTTCACCTCCCTTATCTAAAAAAGTGGAAATGGAAATGCAGCGTAGTTAAAACGCTGCAACGGACAGATGGAGTTTATTGTGTGTTCTGCTCTTATAAATGTCTACCAGGCACACAATCCTTCTTAATCTTTGTGCCCATCTCGTGTCCATCTGTGAGCAGCAATGCTCAAAGGACACAGACTGTATATAAAAGATGGACATCACCACCTGAAACTTTGTTCTGTGC